GATCCATTATGCTCAGTGATGCACTGTTTTTCCTTTTAAGATGCTGGCAGAGGCTGAACTGCTTTGTACTAGTGTAGTCTTTAAGTATATAGAAAGTGAGTAAAAAGTTTTTGGTTCTGGAAAGGAGAAATTTCCATTGGCTTAGCATACTGTATACCAGGCAGGACTCTACAGAGAGAGACAGATGGACACATGCTCTTCATGTACTGCAGATATGTTTGTTTACTTGTGTGTGTATATCTGTGGGTACAGACTTTTTTAGAAAGCCACATTGCTTTCTGGAGGTTAGGAGTGAGTAGTATGGGTGTGGGCAGGGCTGGTGGGAGAAAGCAATCTACCAAGCCCCATGCCCCATGTAGGGTGGGAAAGAACTTCTGTGCTCCCCTAGAAGCTTAGCTCTTTCTGCAGCATGCCAGTCTGCCCCAACACAAAGCTGGTTCCAGGGCTGTCCCCTCCACTCCAGTGTGGCTCAGGGCAGTGCTGCTTCCATGGGCCTGTCAGATGCCCCAGGGTGGGAGTCAGGGTAGTAAGAGCCAGGGCTTGGAGTGCTTCTGGCCCCACTGGAACTTGCTTTGAATTAGGTTCCCTGAGTAGAAGTACAGGTTGAGCTGTAGATCTGGTTTCCCCATGGCCTCTCTGTTGCCACAGCAGCCTCCCCCAGTAGGATGAACAGTGGGTTCTACCTGCAAAGAAATCAAGCTCTACATTTTTTTTCTTGCAAGGAGATGGTGGTGATGGCAGCAGTGTGCCCTGACTCTAGGCTGACCTGTAGGGCTCGTGTTGCTGTTCTGCCAGCATTGCTCCAAAGCTTTTCCTTGTCTTCTCTTGAGAAATGGGTGTATGGGACCATCCCTTGGGCTGCCATTTTTAATGATTATTTTCCATCTCGCTTTCTAAGCTTAATAAACCTTAGAAGTCACACAGCCTTCAGAAGCTGGAACATGTAGCTGTTCTGCCTGAGAAAGGAAGGAGACTTCATAAAGCACAACGGTTGCTATCTAACTGCACCACAGGAAAGCTGGGCAGCATCCAGCTGCATTGTACACTGTAGGACAGCAGTGATGTTCCTGATTGCAGATTTATGTGGCTTAGATAGCAGCAGACATTACATGGAAATGTGTGAGGAAAATGCATGGGTGGGGGTCGGCAGTGTGAGCTGAGGAGGATGCAGCACATGCACAGTCTTCGCTCCCATTGTGACAGAAGGGCTGTGTGTTGGCTCTGTGCCCTGATGGGACAGCTGGGGCTGCTTGGGTGGCCACTGTCACCAGGTGCTTGCATGTCTAACGTAGGTGTGGGAAGCTGGAGAAGCAGGTTTCTGGCCTTTCTGCCAGGTACTGCAGTGGAGGTGGTGATGGGCTTGGCAGGGTGGATGCTGCACCCCTTTCTTTGCCAACTTTTGTCACCCTGCACTTGGGAGTGCTTTCTGTGAAGGGACTTCTTTCCCATAGAGAACATTTTGCAAGACTTCAGTAAATACAGAGGCTTTGTGTGTTGCTGTGTCTCTATTTTGAGGATAATGGATACTTTAATAAACCAGGAAGGTGTAGTTTAGATTGCAGAAATAATTTAATTCTCTTCTGTTTACTAAACTGACAATGACATGGTGCTCTTCTGGCCAGTGAAATCGAAAAAACATTATCCTGAGAAAGTGAATCTGAATTATTTCCACCATCGCAGCAGGGCACATTACATAGGGCAGGGACATACCATGACCTGTTGAAGTGAATAACTGAAAGCAGGAAGTAATTCAGCTTGTTTTCATATGTGTGAAGTGAGAGGATGGGAAACAAAGAAGACTGTATGCACTCAACACCCTTGTTGCACTCTATTAAGTGAAGCATCTTTCTGCTTTTACAGAAAGATCCATATATATATTTATTTATATATATATGTATTTATTTATATATATATAAATTCTGGACCTAAGGCAACAAATTTATTGACAATCAGAAGCTATAGCATTCTCAGTTTTAGTGTTACCGGTTTGTGCTATATATGTGTGCACTATTTTAATTATATAAATAATTCAACCAATTACTTCTGTAAAGCCTTTTGCACTGTCTCCTACAATGTCCTTTTCTCTACGTTGAAGAGATACAGATTTATGAATGGACTATTAGATGGGTAAGGAATTGGTTGGATTGTCACGTTCAAAGAATTGCAGAGGACTGGAGCACATCTCCTATGAAGACAGGCTGAGAGAGTTGTGGTTTTTCAACCTGGAGGAGAGAAGGCTCCAGGGACATGTTATAGCAGCTTTCCAGTACCTGAAGGGGGCCTACAGGAAAGCTGGGGAGGAACTTTTTCCAAGGGCTTGTAGCAACAGGACAAGGGGTAATGGCTTGAAACTGGAAGAGGGTAGATTTAGGTTAGACATTAGGGTAATGAGACACTGGAACAGGTTGCCCAGTGAAGTTATGGATGCCCACTCCCTGGAAGTGTTCAAGGCCAGGTTGGATGGGGCTCTGAGCAAGCTAGTTCTGTGGGAAGTGTCCCTGCCCATGCAGGGTGTTGGAACTAGATGATCTTCAAGGTCCATTCCAACCCAAACCATTCTGTAATTCTGTGATAAATGTTCAATATCCAAATGGAAGTCAGTAACAAGTGGTGTCCGTCAGGGACTATTGCAATCTGTAGTGTCATGGTCTATATCTTTATCAATGACATGCAGTGGATTTGAAAGCAACCTCAGCAAGTTTGCAGATGACATCACACTGAATGGTGCAGTTGATTGGCAAGAGGAAAAAGTTGTCATCCAGAAAGACTTTGACAGGCTTGAGGACTGGGCCTTTATGAACCTCATGAAATTCAACAAGGCCAAGTACAAGGTCCTGCACTTATGTCAGGAAAATCCCCAGTGTCAGTACAGACTGAGGGATAAATGGATTGAGAGCAGCCCTGAAGAGAAGGGCTTAAGGATACTGTTAGATGAAAGATTGAACATGAGATGACAATGTGAACTTGTGGGCCAGAAAGCCATTTTCTGGACAGTATAGAAAGAAGCATGTCCAGCAGGTCCAGGGAGGTGATTCTCCCCCTTGGCTCTTGTGAGACCCCATACTTTGATGGCTAACAGGTGTTTACTTTCACAATGAGCACTTGAATCATATTGCATCCAGTGAAACCTCCTTTAGCTCCTTCTGTCTGCTCTTCTGGACGCATGAACAATTTTCTCATGCCCTTATCAACCTACTTCTCATATCTTCTATCTTGTGATGCAAACCAAATTTGACTGGCCTCTGGGGGAATTAAACTGTGGATCATCACCTCCTGTTATACACCATAAACTGTACAAGAGGCTTCCCTGCATCTGCTTCTAGCCATGCCTCTTCTCCTGCTTCAGCACTCTTTAAAGGCTTGGTTAAGTTGCTACACAGCAGCGAAGCATCTGAGTCATCTGTGAAACGTGCATGTTTTAGGAGGAAAGCCTTGTTCCTTACTGTGCTAGAAAGGGTAGAGCTGAGCTGAGGAAATAGAATATGTAAATAGCAGAATGCTATCAAATCCTGGTATTAATGAATGCTCTGGTTTGGAATTGGTCTGAAAGCTAGCTATAGAGCTTTCTACACCCTTTCCTTAAGTATATGTCAACATCTGGATATAAACATCTTTAAGCAAGGCCTCTAAAAGTAATTGCAGAATAAATCTGTCAGAAAAACTCATTTCAAAACAATGGGGATGTGACCTTAGTTCTACAATCTTTCTCACCACTGTTTAGCTGGTTGGTACTGTATGAATTACATTTAGGTATATGTCTGTCCAGGAGATTAAAATTTGGTTCTGCAGCTGTTCAACTCTGATTTCTTGTGAATAGTTTTAGTAGTATAAAACCTAATTAAAGTGGACATTTAAGAAAAACCCTTATGAATTTTTGGGAAAAACAGATACCTGAAAATTGGGTTCAGTGGGCAGTTCAGCTCTCTCTTTCTGATTTCTTAGCCAGCATTTGGCAATTACTAGCAGTTGTCAGGAAAGGATGAGGTAAGTGAAAGTAGAGGAGATCTGTGTCAGCTAATTTATGTCATGTAAGATGAAGGTTTGATAGGCTTCTTTCTAAAGAGCAATGTTGTAAAGCCAGGGTGATAGAAAAAGGCAATATTGAAGTTTCAGGTACTTTTCAGAAAACATTTTTCATCTCAAATTGGCACTTCAAAGGGACAAAGCAGTAGCTTAACTGATCTACTGGCAGCCAGCAGTTGAAAATTACAAAGCAAAGGCACTTACTTAGTTGCTGGCTGCCTGTGTCTTTTCCCTCTACCCTGTAGCACTTTCCCACATTAACTTTTTCCTAGGGTCCAAGAAGAAATAATATGAAAAAGGAGCATGGAAAAGGTTAACATGATTCTGCTGACATCTACCACCATTCTTCTACAGGGTCTGTCCACTCCCAAAGAAAATTAATATTATAAATATATGATTTAGAGTAACTCCAAGTTTCACATTTTGCTTCTTTTTCCAAATAAAGAAAATGATCAATTTGTTTCAATATGTATTAGATCTTTTGATCTACTAGCCTGTGTAGAGGAGTGGCAGCTCCTTACACAGGGCTTAATTCCAAGTCCTTTTTTGTTTTCTTTTCCTATAAATCTGAGAGAATTTGTCCCAATAGCTTCTTTCTGAAAAGCCCCAGTTTCTTCTTCCTTTAGATACAGCCAGACCCAAGCATTCTTTCTCGAATGGCTCCTCAAACTTGCCAAGTTTTTTTCTTTGCCATCTTTGAATGTTAATGTGTCTACCCTAATGTGAGCCAGATGTACCAATTTGATATCTTGGTAATAAGCTGCTGGTGCACAGAACCATAGAGGTGGGGAGAAAGAAAACAAGCAGCACTGAGGAAGAGAAGGGTATCTTCCTGATCACTGTCATAGTCCCCTAACTTTTATTTACCACATTCAATATGGAATGAGAATGAAATGAGTGATAAAACAAAGAGGTACCTTTTTCAGGCACATTCTTCTTAAATGCTATTTTTATTACTGCTTTTGTTTCCTCTGTAGAGTGGGAAGCCCCCAGTTAAGGATATGTTCACAGATTTGAAGGATGGAAGGAAGCTTTTGGACCTTTTGGAGGGTCTGACGGGGAAACCTCTGGTAAGAGAAATGTGTATGAGTTGTATTCCCATGTATTAAAAAAACTCTACAAAATCAACAAATAAAACAGCAAAACCCAAACTATGCCACGTGATTTTTCTTAATTTTAGTTTACTTGAAAACCCATTTTGCTTGTAGTGTGTACTTGTTTTCTACTGTTCCAGTGAAATTCCCATGAACTCCAATCATGGGATTATAGGGTCAAGCTGAAGTTAGCTGTGTAACCCTCTCTTGAGGGTTAACATGCCGTTTAAAAAGGCATGAAAAAGCAGTGGTGTTATTCAAAAAAGCATGCAAAACCAATGGTGTTATTTACATAGTGTGTATTTTTAATAGAGATTTTTTTAAAGGTCTGCCTCTGGATGATCTGGGAGATCAGCCTTTAACTGGGTATCTGTGAACTTTTTCCAATGAGCTCATGAAAGCTTCCCTAAAAAACGAAGACAACAGCTAGTAGGTCATGCAAATGTCTGAATCTCCATTGAAAACTCCTTTGCTATCTACAGGTTGGGAAAGGCTGAAAACTACACACGCTTTTTTGGGAAAGTGTTTGTATGTCTGAAAACTACTTCTAACACTGATGCCTCTTTGGAAAGATACATGAGGCATGGTGAAACCTGTGCCATCACATGGGATTAAGTTGTTTGTTTCACTATTTATAATATATCTAAGATTAATTTATTAACTTTATGAAGGACCTTCAGCCATTTGAAATTTCACCTTGCAAGCTTGCCTTTTTTTTTTTTTTTTAAACATACATTTCACTTGTAATGATTTGTGGTCTTATTTGAAGTATACCGAAGACAATAGAGTATTTTGGTTACTAATTCTGTTGATTACCATGTCCTAAATTTAGTTCTAAGCTCTTGCAGATCATGTTCTGCCACAGGAGTTAAATTGCAGTGATTAAAAGCAAATAGGGTGGCAGGTATTGTCAAGAGCTGTGTTGTTCCCTCCCCCGATATAAAAGGAAGAAAAAGTCAGGAATTGCAACTTCTTCCCAGTATGTAACAATTTAGCAGGCTTTCTGTGCCAAAGCAACAAATTGCTGCTCGTTCCCTCTTGGGAGCCAAACAACTTCAGCTACTCTGGCAAACATTCAAAACCCTCAGATTTTCCCCAGGAACTCCCACTTTGCTGTTGTATTGCCAATTTATAATTCTGCAGATGTTGGGAATAAAACTTCTGGATTTACCAAAGATGAAGTGAAACACATTTTGAATCCAAGGCTTCTCCTGTGGCCTGAATTGAGGAATAATGTTCTGACCCATTTTAATTTTGAAATTATTGTCAATGATCTTGTTTGCTTCCATTCTTACTTAAAAAAAAATTATATGGAGAAAATTAGCACAAATGTCCTGTTGTTTGCTCTATAATATATTTTGTTTGGTCTGTCAAGTTAATTTTGATGTTAACAGATTGTAACTTTTTATTTTCAGGCTAAAGAGCGAGGTTCTACACGAGTTCATGCCTTAAATAATGTTAACCGAGTACTGCAAGTCTTGCATCAGAACAATGTGAGCATATTTTTCCACAGCTTTGTGATAGTCTTTAATTTATTCCTGTGTGTAAATGAGTTCAAAATGGAGAGAATGAAGTTTTTTTATATATCTAAAATGAGAATTCAGTGAGATGGATAAAGTGTTCTCAGTTTTCCTTATCTGATATAGAATTTCAGTGTCTGATAGTTTTATGAAATCTTAAACTGCTAACTTAATATTATTAACTAAATTGTGTTTTGTTTAGGGATGTGTTCAGCTTCCAAAACAAAGGTGACTTGAAACTCTGCTTTGAATAGCTCATGAACCTAGCAGGACAGAAAGAATAATTTCCAGATTGCATAACTGGTGCAAAAATCTGTGTGGGTATGACAGGTTTTGTCTCTGTTTTTTGTGTCCTGCTCTCAAAATCCAGGAGGATTTTTCCATTGATATCTCAATACTGTGTCAAATCTGGATTGACTTGCTAATTTAGAGCTTTGGTTAACTGATCAGAAGAACAAACAAACAAACCTCAATTCACAAGAAAAATAAAAATAATAATTGGGGTTTTGTTTATTTTGCTTTTATGTCTTTACTGCCCAGAAGCCAGCAGTGCTGTAATAAAGTGATTTAATTTTTCCCCTAAAGAAAAATTCCTGATAAGCATACTCGCTATAGTTAGAATTTCTATTTCCAAATATCAGATCACTAAAATAACAACATTCTGGCAATAACATTAATCTAATGGAGAAAGTCACTGACATATTTATGTAAAGTGCTGAATGAAAAGCGATGAATGTGCTGTGTTGGTGGAAGGCTACTTTTTAGGAAGCAGCCAAAGTTAATGGTGCGTTTGTTTTTTTGATCTTTGAGGTACTGCAAATACTGATTAACTTTTTTTCTATGGATAAGTAATGAGTCTTTCTGGCTTGAAATGTATTTATTTTATAAAATTAATAAAGGAAATAATACAGAATTACAATAATGAATTACTTCTACCTTAAGCAGGATCTGGGCTTCTAGAAATAAACAGATGGTGTTAGTTAGCTGGAGATTGTTACAGTCATGTACATGTTTTATACTCACTGCCTAACTTCATTAGATGTGTGTTAAGATGCAGGGAAAAAACATCCACTGAGAAGCAGTTGCATTCTGTTGCCTGAGAGTTTGTAGGCTATATAATATTCGTAACTTGTGAAATAATTTATAGGCATGTTGAAATATTGCAAGGATCACACAAGCCTAGGGTGTATTTCATAGAATTGTTATGGTTGGAAAAGACCTTCAAGATCATCAAGTCCAGGGTGCCATGTCTACCCATTTTTTGAACCCCTTCAGGGATGGTGATTCCACCACCTCGCCACTCTTTCTGTGAATAAAGTCCAACCTGCACCTCCCCTAGTGCAACTTGACCCCATTTCTTCTTGTCCTAGTGACTAGAGAGAAGAAGCAAACACCAGCATCACCAACAACCTCCTCTCAGGTAGTTGTAGAGGGCCATGAGGTCTCCTTCAGCCTCTTCTCCAGGCTGAACAGCCTCAGCTCCCTCAGCCTCTCCTCATAAGACCTGTTCTCCAGAGCCCTAATCAGCTTAGTTAACCTTTTCTGCACCTCCCTGGTCCTGCTGGTCACAGTATTCCTGATGCAGGCCAGAATGGTGTTGGCCACCTGGGCACACTGCTGGCTCATGTTCAGCTGGCTGTCAGTCAACACCTCCAGGTCCCTTTCAGTTGGGCAGCTCTCCAGCAACTCCTCCTCAAGCCTGTTGCGCTGCTGGGGGTTGTTGTAGCCAAAGTGCAGGACATTTGGCCTTGTTGAAACTTGTACAATTGGCCTTGGCCCATTGATCAAGCCTGTCCAGATCCCTCTGCAGAGCCTCCCTGCCCTCAAGCAGATTGACACTCCCACCCAACTTAGTGTCATCTGCAAACTCACTGAGGGTGCACTTTATCCCCTCATCCAAGTCATCAGTAAAGATGTTAAACAGCAGTGGCCCCAGCTGCTGGGGAGCCCTGGGGAACACCCCTCGTGACCAGCCACCAACTGGATTTAACTCCATTCATCACAACTCTTTGGACCTGGCCATCCAGCCAGTTTTTTATCCAAGAAAGCGTGTTTGTATCTAAGCTATGAGCAGACAGCTTCTGTAGGAGAATGCTGTAAGAAACAGTGTCAAAGGCCTTGCTAAAGTCAAGGTGACAATACCCACAGCCCTTCCCATATCCAATAAGCAGGTCACGCTGTCACAGAAGGAGATGAGGTTAATCAAACAGGATCTGCCCTTCATGAACCCGTGCAGACTGGGCATGATGACCTGGTTGTTCTGCATGTACCACATAATGGTAATCAGAATGATCTACTCAACCAGCTTCCCTGGCACTGAAGTAAAGCTTAACAGCCCTGTAATTTCCCAGATCATCCTTCTATCCCTTCTTATATACAGGGGTAACACTGGCTGATTTCTAAGCTGTTGGTATCCCTCCAGTTGTCCAGAACTACTGATGAATAATGGAAAATGGCTTGGTGAGCACCCCTGCCAGCTCTTCCAGCACTCTTGGATGCATCACATCTGGCCCCATAGATTTGTGCACATCTATTTAGTGGAGCAGGTCACTGACCATCTCCTCCTGGATTGGGCTTGTGTGTGTGTGGGGGCTCATTCTCCAGTCCCTGTCTCCTAGCTTAGGGAGTTGAGATTCCCTCTATATAACTGGTCCTGTTACTAAAGACTGAGGCAAAGAAGTCGTTAAGCACTTCAGCCTTTTCCTCACCTTTCATCACTATGTTTCCTTCTGTTTCTGACAGGGGATGGAGGGTCTCCCTGGTCTTTCTTTTGTTGTTAATATATTTGTAGAAGATTTTCTTGTTGTCCTTTGTCACAGAGGCCCGATTAATTTCTAGCTGGGCTTTGGACCTTCTAGTTCCCTCCCTGCATAGGATTTTTGTAGTCATTGTGGATGGCCTGCTCCTTTCTCTAAAGGCCATAGAGTCTCTTTTTCTCGCAGAGCACCAGCCAAAGCTCCCTATTCAGTCAGGCAGGTCTTCTATGCTTCTGGCTTGCCTTACAGCACATAGGGATGGCCTGCTCCTGCACCCTCAAGACTTCCTTCTTGAAGCATGTTCAGCCTTCCTGGGCTCCTATACTCTTCAGAACTGATTCCCAAGGGATTCTGGCAATCAGGCTACTGAACAAGTTGAAGTTTGCCCTTTGAAAGTCTAGGGTGGCAGTTTTTCTGCCACCCCTCTTGGCATCTCTAAGAACGGAGAACTCTTAACAATTTGTGGTCGCTGTGCCCAAGATTGCCTGCAACCACCACATCTCCTACCAGCCCTTCCATGTTCACAAAGAGCAGGTCTAGACAGAGCACCTTGCCTGGTTGGTTCACTCATAAGCTGTGTCAGGAAGTTATCTTTGATACATTCGAGGAGTCTCCAGGACTGTTCCCTCTCTGCTGTGTTGTAATTCCAGCAGACATCAGGGAGGTTGAAGTCTCCACAAGAACAAAGGGGGAACAGTTCATCCACCTCACTGCCCTGGTTGGGAGGTTTATAGCAGACTCCCACAGCCATATCAGCCTTGTAGGCCTTGCCCCTAGTCCTTATTCAAACACACTCAACCTTGTCATGCTGTACTCAAGTTCTAGACATTCATAACAATTCTTAATATACAGGGCTATCCCACCACCTCTCCATCCTTGTCTATCTCTCCTGAAGATTTTATAGCCATCAATTATGGCATTCCAGCTGTGTGAGGCATCCCACCATGTTTCTGTCATAGCCACTATGTCATAGTTTTCCTGTTGTATCAAGGTTCCAGCTCCCCTTGTTTGTTGCCCACGCTGTGTGTGTTGGAGTGATCCTGTGAACCTCATCCATCTGATGAGCAGAAAGGTTCTAAGTAATGAAGTTCAACTTTTTTGATTTGTGGACCAAGTGTTTGTTTTTTTTTTAAAGTAATTAAAAAAAACCACCACACTGGAAATCATTCCAGACAGCCAGTATCAGTGTACTGTCAGTAGTACTGCCTGTCTACTGTCACCTTTTTTTATTGATTAACTTTGTTCAAGTCTCAGTAGTTCACTCACCGTCTTAGTGGGTTGCTGGCTGCATCCTGCATAGCAGTTTTAGTTCAGAATTGTCAAAATACAAAAATGCACATGTGAAGTATTTTCCTTGTATGGTGGAAATAGAACAAGGAATGCATCACTGTTATCATTGCAATCAATTATTATTGTTATTAATTTTATAATTGCTATTATTTTATTATTATTTATGTGAAATTAAAATCAAGTGAGTTTTTTGTTACTCGTTCTCAAGAGGGTTCAGGGTTTTTTTTCCTATTACAGGTGAAAAAAGTTCTTGCAATGTAGCTGTTTTATTTTAGTGCCCTGGACCTTTAGTCTTGCTTTCTGCTCATGCTTTCCAGTGCTTTTTAAAATTATTTGCACTGGTTATTCTTTTACTTGTTTAATTTATACTTATCTTAAAATATTTTTGCCCACTATTAGCAAAGAGTATTGCTGTAAGATTCTGTTCCAACTGCTGTAAATATTGGGAGGGTAAAATCCACAAGCTTCCTTAGTACTTTGAAGTGTAATTTGTGGTTTGATTCTCCTAACCAAGAGACCTGTGGGGAACTGAAAATTGTCAAGATAGTATCTGAAAGCAATGAGGTTGCAAGTGGATTTTGCAGAATTAAAGCTATTTGTGATTGTGTGATAAGAGGAAAAATATTCATGGGCTACCATTATGTTCTTATGTATTAGCAATATCTTCTAAAACAAACATAAACTTTGTTCTTGTCCGTTCTGTTATTTCATGCTACATCCACTGAGAGCCAGAGTGTGGGCTTTGTTACTGTGCTGTGGTTGTGGTTGTGCTGTATTTTTTAATTGCTTGACAGCTCCTTGATGCAGGCTTTGTGTCAATGACCAGTTCTGATTCCAATCAATGCCGAGATACAGTTCTCAGAGTAATTGTGAGCTGAGAGGAGTTTCTGATAGGCACTGTGGATAACACTGTTTTGAGCAGGGGAAAAAGCTTCCCCATCCAGGTGAAATGCACAGTTCCACCTGCCCCTGGGGCTGCAGGATGCTCCCAGTTCAGGTTATTTACAAGAGTGAAGCCCCACCACCTGCCCTGTGTAGGAGTGCGTTGCAGCATCTGCTGTACATGTATATACAACCAGGGAGGTATTTGTCTCCACTGCCATAGGCAGCTTTTCCTGGCCAAATTTCTGTAGATGTGGTGTTAACTAGTACAGTGTGCTGCTCTTGGTTCCTTTCAGAAGGTGGTTCAGAGTTAGTGCTGCTTTCTGTGTGTTGACTGAATGGAGACTTACTGCCCCATTTCAGTTCAGGCTCTAAAGTGAGTGAGTATCTGGTATTGTGCTTTAAGCTTTACTTCTTCTGAGGGCTGAATGCTTGATTGCAGAGTAAGTAGCCTCTCCTGCCCTCTTGCTTACTAAAGTAAACTTGTTTGTCTTTTCTGTGTTACCTTTTAATGATCTTGGGCCATCACTGAGTCTATACAGGGTGCTATGCGTATAGGAAACTTGAAAATGTTATTTTTCCCTCAGGATTTTGGTCTCCTTATATAAAGTTATCCTATTTGGGTACTGGTTCACACAAAGGACAAACATTGTTAGAGTTTACATGGTTCTGTAGTATCTCTGAGTGTGTCTAGGAGCAGGACTGCTTAGCTTTTTTTTTTTAATATCAGATTCTTCATTTTTGCATTTCTATTGGTCAGTTTTGACTACTGGTATGTATCTGTATATTAGAGGAGAGGATGAAACTCTTCTAGTGGATTATCTCTCTGATGCTGTCTTTTGTCATGTTGTTTCAGCAGTTGTCATGACAAATTCAGATAGGCGGTACTTGCTCATCTCTGATCTAACCACAGTTAGTTCAGAGCACTTGGTAATGTGGCTGGACAGTCAGGAATTTGGGGTAGGGTTGTGACTTGAAGCTGTGGTAACAGTGTTTAATAGAGAGTTGATCTGACTTCTCCAGGTGGAGTTGGTGAATATAGGAGGAACTGACATCGTTGATGGAAACCACAAGCTGACGCTGGGGCTGCTGTGGAGCATTATCTTGCACTGGCAGGTGAGAGGCTGTTGAGAGAACTCCTTCTTTCCCTGTGCTTTGATCTGCTGATATTCTCACAAATCTTCCTGGTGTTTTGATGGTGGACAACACTGCTTCTATTTTGAGCTGGTAAATAGAGACAGGCCAGTGTTTGGTTTCTGATCTCTGTCTATTGGCTGCCTCCTACGACACATGTTCTCATATGTGCTCAGTTGTACTCAGTCTCTCACTTGAGTTCCTGCTGGTGTTCATTGCAAAGAGGCTTTTCAGACTGAAACAGTGTATTTATACTCCTTCCTCAAGGCACTTATGAACTTCTCTTAGCAGGTACTTTTTTACTATCTATGTAGTTGTGTTGGACTTGTATTTTATATGCTGCTCTGTAGGTTTGTTTCTCTTTTCTCTCCTGGTTTATCTAGGTAACTGGGAGGATGATCTCATTCACTTAGAGGAACTTTGGCAGATGCTTATGCATAGTACCCAAGCAGTAAACTGCTTTTGTTGGCTGTGTAGATATCCTCCTCTTGCAGAAAACCTGTGCAAGCTCTATTTTTGGGTTTGGCTTACTGGTGGAACTGCAGCAGAAGGCAGTAAAAAATATCATACCCCACACTTAGCGTAGGCAGCACTGAGGAAAGGGGGAGGATTATAACGTAAGAGTGATATGTCATTGTTACGTGAAGGATTACTGGTTCTTTTAATCAGAGTGCGAAGACAGTCTGAAGACTCTTATTCCCAGGTTTCATGGGAGGAGTTAGTTTGGTTCATAGCTTTCCATGGGAAAGACTCTTCCACAATTCGTGAAATAGCTTGGCTCAAAATTTTTATATGCAGGAAAAGTGGAGACTATGTCCATGAAGTGTAGTTGCTGCTGTCTTGCAGGTGAAGGATGTAATGAAGAACATCATGTCAGATTTGCAGCAGACCAACAGTGAGAAGATTCTGCTGAGTTGGGTTCGGCAGTCCACAAGGCCTTACAGTCAAGTCAATGTCCTGAACTTCACCACGAGCTGGGCAGATGGACTTGCCTTTAATGCTGTCATCCACAGACACAAGTAAGTAGCAAATAGCTTCTCTTAAACCTAGTGAAGTAAGCAACATTTTCCCTATGTCTTCATGCTTGAGCATGTGACATCTTGTAGCCTGCTTTGGTGAGTCATGTTTTGGGTTTTTTTTTGTGGTAACATTAACAGTGGAGTGGTATTGTCAAGGCCTTGTAAAGGATGGAACCAAGGCAGCAATGTCACTCAGTTCCTGCTCATGCACGAACCCTTGCTAACTGAAGCAGATTTACATTCCACTTAGTATGCATTATCCAGCTAATGTGCTGAACAGGTCTCTGCAGGGGGGTTTGACCACCTCCTTCCCCTGTACTTCCTTCCTGCTGCTCTCCCTCCTCTGCAAATGGAAACATTTCTTCAGTCAGTTTGCTGAATCATTTTAGTAGGAAGATACAGAAGCTTCAAAACGAAGAAGTAAAGACAGGATCTGTAGCTGTTCTTAGTCTTTGCATGTATGTTGCCTGAAAGACAATGTATGCAGTTCTTTCAGGAGAACTGCTGAGCAGAAGAATCAAAGGATAATAAGAGTACTTCAGGTATCAGTAGCGAATTCGTTAGTTTTTTCATTGTACTTTGTAAGGAATTATGTTAAAACTTCTTTGCACAGATCTTTTGTATTTTTTAAGAACTCTTTGGTGGTCTAAGGAAATGATTGTTACAGACTCCTATGAAATTTAACTGACGGTTCTTAGGTTTTTAAAATTTTTCTTCTGGATGATTCATTCTAATTCAATATACTTTAAATGAAGTCAGCTCATTGCTTGGCAAAGGCTGACTTTTAACCATAAAAAACATTTTATTATGGTAATGGTGTGATACTATCTAGCATGTAACCAAACCTCCTGGCCACCAGGAAGTAAGTGTTATGGCAAGCGCTTCACAAACACCCAGAATATATAAGCCCAGCAGATACAAAGTCCTTGCAAAACCTTATGTTCACTTTGAGCCTGCTGCTCTCTGCTTTTAAGTGCCCATTTGGCCTCTGCTGACTGAAATAACAGGTTCTGTCACAGGCTCACTGGCTCCAGGACAGGTCTGCCCTGGTACCTCTATGTGCCTTGTAGACCAGGGCTGGCTTCTGTTCAGCCTGCACCACACTGAGAGCTCCTGAAAATTTGGAAGGGCTGTTCTTCAATTCAGAGCAATGCTAGCAAAGGTGTCTCTGGACTGCATCAGAAGTATTACCAAGTCCCTTCTCTGGATGGTGTGAATGGTACTGCCAGATTTCATACTGGCTTAATTGCCTGCAGCAGCGTGGATCTGCTGCTTGAACGTGTGAAGCTTTGTGACAGAGAGAGTGCCAGCTTTAGACACAAGTGAGAACTAGGTGACCTGAGGGAAACAGAAGGAGAGAGGCAGCAAAATGGGCTTCAGGCTTTTTGCTGTACTCATGCATTTTGACTATGTACTTGGGCTTTGCAGGATCTGAAATATATGAGCTCTGCTCTTTTCAGAGCAGGGTTAAGTAGCAAAAGGCCCTGCTGAAAATTTGAATAGAGTAACTGTTTTCCTCTGGCTTCCTAAAATTTCAGTTACCTGATTCTGCTGATCTCTGGGCCTTCAGTATTCCCTCTTTCTGGGAGCCTGGCAGCTGCCAGCACATCAGAATTCAGCTTTGCTGTCCCTGGGCACCAGTCCATTAGCCAGGGAAGCACCATTTTTCACACACTTCTAACAAGTCTTGAGCTGGGTTTAGATTTAGGCCAGCTTTGAAAGACAATCTTTAAAATGCACTTGCAAAGGTCACAGGCATTGGGGCAGGTTGCAGAAGTGATAGAACAACAAAGCTGTTTAGCCTACCCAGATAGTAGTTCTTCACTACCTAAAGGGCATTTCCAATATTGCTTTGAAATTGTTTAATATCATGTGTTTATAATGTATAATAATCACTTAATGTAGGACAATTTTGTAGACCCCAAGAGGTTCAGTAGCTTGCTTTTCTCTTATGTATCTATGAATGATTGTTAGTAGTACTACCTTTTGGCTATAATATCTAGTAACTTTGTAACACAGCACTCAATAACAATATGTGAGGTAATAAGACATTCAACATCTTACTGTGCTGGTCTCTTTACTTTCCTGATGCTAGCTTAGTTCCTCTGTGAATTAAATTCTGTTCTTTGGTGCAATTTTCTTGCTCATAGGTAAATATCTAGCTTGCATTTTATTGTACTTTGTGTTATCATGGCATTGTGCAGGTAGTGTATGTATTGTGTTTATTGCAATATGTTTTCCAAAGTAAGAGTCTCTGCTAAGGCTTTATGTGAATCTCTGTGGTTATCCTTATTGCTTCTTGCATGGAGGGTACACTATTCCACTAGCTTCTGTCAGGATCTTTGCATACCTTTCTTCCCTACTCACCCCATCTTCCTTCTGGCAATTTGCTTCTCAGACTTTGCTGGCTTATGGCCTTCCTGTTTAAAAAATGTAATGACAGAAATTAAAAAAATACTCTCAGGCCACTTTAGAACAGAATTAAGTAAAAATAATTAAAGGCAAGCCCATCTCTTCACCCCCAAGTCCTATAAAGCACTGAATCAAGAGCAATGTTTTAATGAGAAGCCACTGTTACACGGGAATGTGAAGTATTTTAATGGCCTTGCAGTCTTACAGGCATGCTGCTGCAGCTCTAGGGTGATCATGTCCTCTCAGTGTAGGTACCACTAGGAGGGGGCCCTGCTTGCTGACCCCACTTTCTGCTCTGTGCTCTTCTCTTCTCCTTTGATGCCTGTTTTGGGTGCATGGCTGGGCTGGAGATTTCATTTGGTTCACAGTAATGTGACATGAAGGCTGTGGCACTGTAAATGCATCAGCTCCTTGGTCTGATTTGCATTGTGACTCTCACGAGCACTTGTGATGGGCTGCATTTTTTGTAGGTATGTTTTTGATACTGGTTTTTTGTTTATTTTAATGGTGAAAAAAGGCATAGGATAGGGTGAGCAAGCAGGGGTGGAGATCACTGCTGCTCCTGGCTGTGATGGTTGGGGTGGGCACTGAGCCACATCACAAGTTTGGAATGAGGCTCTCCAGGAACAGAGTGACTCTTGATACCCCAGCAGAGCTTGATGAAGAAAGCATGTAGTAACAGTAATATTGTGACAGAAAAAGTTGAAAAATCTGGTTGCGGGATAAATTCTTAAAAGAGCTGATTTATTTTCTTTTAGTATTTCACCTCCTGATGCAGTCAATGAGTATATGTATAGAATGAAAGGTGGATGTTGCTGTGGACCTACAGTCAGTTAATTGATTTTTTGATTGCCAGATTCACACTAATAAAAAGAGAGCACATTTTTGTATTTATGCATTTTTGTATATGCACTTACTTGATATTTTCTGTGTATGTTATATTACTTCTTATCCATTATTTCATATTCTGCATGGTGCAGAACTGTTTTCTTCAGATAAAATGTATTTCTTTCTTTCCTGTTTTGTCTTTACATTTAGACCTGAGCTTTTCTGCTGGGATAAGGTTATAAATATGTCCCCAGTTGAGAGACTGGAACATGCTTTCAGCATAGCCAAGAACCACTTGGGAATTGAGAAACTGTTGGATCCTGAAGGTGGGATATAATTATTTTACTTAATTAGAAGCTTTTGTGAGCTCTCTTAAAGGAATTTTATTTTGTTGACATTTACTATACATACAAATTCTAGCTGTTTCGTGCATTGATATTTTGTTTCAGGCCCTTAAATTTGGGTTGAAAAGAATGTAAATTTTAGGGTAAGGGTATGTCTGTCTGTATGTATGCTTTGGCTTCTTGAATGTTAAAGTTCAAATTGATTTACTATTGAGAGACAGTATACAGAAAGGGAAGATGGTATCCTGGGTCAGTTTTATTTTAGGTAGATCTACTGCAAGGGACAGTGCTTTTCAGATGAAGTAGAGCATTATGTAGAATGGAATAGCTTAAGAGTTCATGCTATTTTGCTCTTCATATATACATTGAGTAGCAGTAGCTGCCAGTTCTGTGAGTACTTACTGTGTGGGACTACTTACCAGAAGACTTTAATGGCACCTTCTTAAAATTCTGAGCTCTCACTCTGCTTTGAAGGGAGCCCCTGAAGATTCACTCTAAGACAAGCCCTCAAAATTTATAGATTCAAGCACCACCTGCTTAAAAAAAAAGAAAAACAACAAAAACAAAACAAAACAAAAAAAAAACCCCAAACCTGAGTGAACCTGAGTTGGTGAAACTCTCATATGAAAAGTAAGAAAATGAACTTACCAATGCTGGGAATAGAGACAGAGCCTAAGCAGAAGAGTTCACTTATGTGGGATACTGTCCCTGAACTGCATGTCTGCTTGGGAGATGCTCTAGAATAATTTTCCCCTAAGTTTTTATTCCTTGGTAACTTCATGTTTGGACTCTTGCTTCAAAAAGAGTGTGCCTTTTAATGTAACTTCACTTCCAAATGTAGAAAATTTATTATTTTAAATTTTTTCTCCTGTATACTGTTTTCAACCATATGTCAAACATGATTCTCTTAATTTAAACCTTACTAAAGGCTACTTAACAGAAGAACTTGTGATTTACACTATATGTAAAGTCTTAACTGATTTCTAAGCAATGATTTAGAAAAGCAGCTTCTTCATTTATTTTTCCCCATATTTTCTCTTTTTGATGCAGATGTTGCTGTACAGCTTCCAGACAAAAAGTCTATTATTATGTATTTAACCTCTTTGTTTGAGGTCCTTCCTAAGCAAGTCACCATGGAAGACATCCGGGAGGTGGAGACGCTTCCAAGGAGATACAAGCAGGGATGTGAGGATGGAGAGTTCAACGTGCAGCAGGTGTTTGTCATCAAAGTCTGCCTGGCTTTTCTAAAGTTTTAATTTTAGCTGATCTTCAGTCTTGTCAGTTTTCTCTGGAACATGATTTCTGTCTTGAGCAACACAATTGGGAAAACATGTAGATCATATCGTCTTCAGGATTGGCTTCAGTGGTTTTATCTTTTCTTTTCTTTCTAATTAATGTACAAAATATTGTGTGTTGAGGTATAAAGCTTCATCAGTGTTGTTTCTTCTGTTTCTCATTTGTCTTGGCAAGCTGGAGAGAGCAGCCCAAAATCTGAGTTTGCTGCAGGACTTGTGGTGTTGGTGGTGTATTTGTTTTGTTTGTGTGTAAGATCCACTGCTGTATTAAATGAGCAAGATTAAAGTTGTCTTTTCTATCCAGGTTCCTTTTCAAAAAAGTGAAAGTTCATCAGTGGTGACTGTGAACCTTCTTGTTAAAAAAGTACCAAATGACTACTTTTACTTTTTTTTTTTAAGGATTAAAAGGGATCTTAGTTGTTCTGTTTTTAGTATAATTTGGTAAAATTTGGGAAGGCATCTTCTGTGTACTTCTAAGACCACTTTTCTCTTGACTGCCTAGGCTGCAGCAGTTGAGGAGGAGCAGGGCAGTTCTAGAGCAGAGACTCCCAGCACAGTGACAGAGGTGGATATGGACTTGGATAGCTACCAAGTTGCTCTGGAAGATGTTCTTACATGGTTGCTGTCAGCTGAGGATCAATTTCGGGAACAGGAGGAAATATCTGGTGATGTTGAGGAAGTCAAGGAGCAATTTTCCACCCACGAAGTAAGTTCATTTGGCAACATTTGTTGTGTGTGAGCTCAAGAACTTCCATTTCCTGCCATTCTGATTCTTCTATCATGCTTTTTCTAAATTTTTCTAAATTAAAAGCACCTCTAACTGAATGTGATAGCCTGGTGTGGTGGGGTATGGGTTTTTTTTTTTGTTGTTGTTTTTGACAAATAATAGCTTCTTGAAGGTGAAACGGATCTTAAGAGAACTTACAGTGGAACAAGCTTGGAAACTTTAACGAATTTTTTTGAAATATCTTTTGGTGGCTGGTTCACTGGTGTCTATAATACAAAGACAAAGGCTGATTTGTGCCTCTTTGCTGCCAACTACTAAAAGGCCTCGTCAGCCTTTATGTCACTTACTGTTAAATGCGGGCAATGCTGAAATTGATAATCATGTTAATTGAATTCAGTGGTCTCTCTGTCATGATTAGCATAGCGTATTTCAGAAACATGTGTTGTTGCTTCTAAATTATTGTTGTTTTAAAATTATTTTGTTGTTTTGATTCTGTTCCAAGTCTGAAAAACTGATCCGATGCTGCTAAAAGTTTCAAGTTTCATGTTAGATGTTTTAGTTTTCTCCTGTGTCAGTTTACTGTATACAAATGAATTTAAAATTTGAATGCTGATCAATATGAAGAGTTTCTTTTTCCTTGTGCTACAGTTTAGAAGCCTTGAACCAAAGGAAGAGATATTCTAGATTTATAGTAAATATGTGAATTTTTAATGTTAACTCATACTGTTCTATTTGCTTTCCTATGGTACATTTCAGATCTTGTTTTATGTTCTGTTGGCCATAGGTAAGTTTCTGTGTCATTTTCTTGGTGCATTTGCTCAAAGGCTGTCTTCTTACAACCTTTTTCTCTGAGATAGTTAGCTTTTTCCCCCCTCAATTAGCTCTATTTTACTGTCTCCAGAATTTTTGTAGCTCATAAAAAATCATGTGTCAGGGAGAGGAACAGGTCTGCCATGCTTGTGGGTTTGGTGGTGCTGGCTCATTCTGCAGCACTGTTTCCCACACTACAATTTATTAGGACAATTACAAATTCGTAAGTTCATTTGGGAGCTCACAAATCACAGTGGTGTGGCTGGTTGTACCATTTCCAGGGTTTTATGATGGAACTGACTGCACACCAGAGCAGTGTGGGCAGCGTCCTGCAGGCTGGAAACCAACTGGTGGCTCAGGGAAATCTGTCTCCTGAAGAGGAATTTGAGATCCAGGAGCAAATGTTGCTGCTGAACTCCCGCTGGGAAGAGCTACGGGTGGAGAGCATGGACAGGCAGTCCCGGTAAGTCATTGTCACACAGCTTCTCCTAGAGTTGCAGGTGCTTATTGCATCTTGGAGAAGATGATTTGCATCCATTTGTAAGATTTTTTAAAATATACATATATATTATTTTTTAATATTTTTTTAATGTACTCTTTAGTTTGTGACATGCAATCCACTTTCTTTGTACTTTGCAAGGTGTGAAACAAAGGAAATGAATATAGCTGGGTTTTTGGGGATTCTTAGATAAATCTTTTCTGACTGTTAGGTTATGTAAATGTACCAGACTGTAGTATGTACGTGCAGTAGTTACATAAGTGTTTTTAATATTGTTTCAGTAGTTTGAATTCCTGAATAAAGCATACAGCAAATGGGGATAGCTATGAATGTTTGCACAACTAAAAAGCACTTAGAATCATTTTTTCCTGCCTGTGGGTTATCAAGCTAAGAGCTGCAAATCCAGGGAGAAACTGTATTTTGTTGCCAAGTCTCAGTAGAGGCTCTTTGGGAGGCAACTCCCTGTTGCAAGGAATATTCCCTGGTATAAATTGTATAATTCACTAACTTTGTTGCTTGAGAAAGAAACAGGGATACTTAGTGGTGAAAATATTATTTGATAATAGCTAACAGATTTATGAATGGCCTTCTTCCCTATAGGAGCTAGAACTTAGCCTCTTTCCTTGGGAAAGCTGTTTCTGAAAAACTGCCTGTGCTTCCCCCTGCAGCCTGCATGACATGCTGATGGAGCTCCAGAAGCAGCAGCTGCAGCAGCTGTCTGACTGGCTGACGGTCACTGAAGAACGCATTCAGAAGATGGAATCTCAGGTCTTAGCAGAGGATTTGGAGTGCCTTCAAAAACAGCTGGAAGAACATAAAGTAAACCTTTCTGTCTGTTATGTAATATGTAAGGGAGAAGTGTTAGTAAGATGGGTGTGGTGGTGGGTTCCTTAGCTGAGGAGCTGTGTTGTGTCAGAAGTCACATATGGTTCTGTGCTCAGGGGTTGCATTTGATGTTTAGAAAAGGGTGATGATGGGATAGAAAGGAATTGGAAGTTTCTGGAAGTGCTTTCTTAACCGAACACTGATGTCTAGAGTAGAAACTGTTATTTTTGCTTCTTGTGGGAAGTGAAACCTGTTGGTAAAATTGTGCAGGAAATGAGGCCTCTCCAGGTAAATTGTAGGTGTGAGTGACAGTATGAAATGTACTCTGGACAAAGTTGTCTTTAATGATGGGAAGGCATTGCTACAGTGTGCTTGAGATTTGCAGATTAAAATAATGTGAGAGTTGAAACTGTCAGGAAGGGCCTCCCAAGTCACTGATTCTAGTCATTGCTCTGCTATGCATTGTAAGGGGGACATAGACCACAGGTCTCTGATGTGCACAAGGTCTTGGAAGTGGTTTGTCTCAGTTAAGTTTCTAGATGGGAGTCGAGCCTCTCTAGCCTACAGTGATTTTTTGAAGGAGAAAGATGATCTTTTGATATTGTCATGGTGGCAGCTTTCATTTTCATACTCAGTGATGAGGTTGACCTTCTCCCCAGCACGGGACATAGCTCACAGGGCAAGAACTGTGGAGTATTTTTAGTCTGTGATTTTCTGTCCCATGTTTGCATTTTTTTTTCCTGTATCTTCAAAGTCTGGGGAGTTTGAGGCATGTTGTTCAAAGAGTATCTTAGGATATTCTGGGATAAAAATGGTATTTACAGTACTGTAAAGGCATATTGATCTTGCAGAGATGTTTTGGAGGAAAGCTTTAACCATGGAATCTGTTCTTCTAGAAGTTATATGCATATTTGAATCTACAGATTTCAAACTAATTGGAAGAGTATACTTTCTGCAGTTTTCAGCTATTGTCTTTGAATGTCATGATCAGTTATCACACTCTGGATGCTTATAAGAATGATATTGTCAACTGTTAAAGGCCAAATGTTCTTAGCGATTTTCCCCTGTTTGGCATGCCCTATGATACCTGCTTATTAACAATAGTAGCTTTTTATAGAAAAATGTAAGCTGTCTTGCCTATAACAGTATTCATATAGAAATTCAATGCAGTTGCTGTATGATTCTCCTAGTCAAGTGTGATGCATAGCAAACACTCCTTCGTGTTTTCCAACATTTTCACAGAATGGTTTTGGGTTAATTTCTGAAAGTCTTTTGCTTCCATTTACTTAAACTATGCAGATTCCCATTGGCAGTCTGTCTAACTGTTGAATCTGAGTGCTTTACCACAGCGGTTGTGTCACTTGCTTTGGCCAAATTAGCAGATTAGCAAATGTATTAAAAGTTGTTAACCTGATTTGTTGTTCTAGAGCCTGCAGAGTGACCTGGAGGCAGAACAGGTGAAAGTAAACTCCCTAACACACATGGTTGTCATTGTTGACGAAAGCAGTGGGGAAAGTGCAACAGCTATGCTAGAGGAACAATTGCAGGTAAAATGTTAGAGCCTTCTTTTTTCACCTGTAGTAGCAGGCACTTCAAACCTTTACATAAAATGGTTAATCAACACTGAAGTGTTTAAGCACAATTTATTCTAGAATGTAATTTACAGTAATATTTTTTAGAAGTAATATGAACATAAAGAATTATTAAACTTACTCAGGGTAAAAGCTGCAAAAGTGCTTTGGTGACTTTCAAGCTCAATTCCTTCTGAGTCAAGCTGTTTGCATTCCCAGTGACTTAGGCACTTTTGTAGTGTATCCTTTCAGCAGTTTCATAAAAATGGGAAGATGCACAGTACAACTCTTATTTCACAAAAGTAATTTTCATTAAGAAGTTAAAATCTGATGGAGAAAATATTTAAAGACATGAGCAGAAATCATCTGGGGAATCTAATGTGAAGTATTTTTCTTTATTTGTCAGAAGTTAAACTGTAACCTGAAATATAGGGAATGTGAAACAGAATGTAGTGAAATGGAATTCATGCTACTTTGTTAATTCCTTTTGAAGTCAATGGAATAGCTCACTGACTTCAGCAATAAGGCCATAGGTCAATTCTTTTGCAAGTTTAAACATCCGGCTTTGTGCAGTACAGCAGTGGGGATAATGGGCAAGGCAGTCATGATGCAGAAGGGGAGGTTACTGTGAAGTAGAAATTATGCTTTTAAATATCTGATTTTTGAATTTCTTTGTGAGGCTTGAGAATGTTCATGAGCGTTGCCTCCTTTTCTAGAGGCTGGGTGAGCGCTGGACGGCGGTTTGTCGCTGGACTGAGGAGCGACGGGTCAAGTTGCAAGAAATTCAGCCTTTATGGCAGGAGCTGCTGGAAGAACAGGTTAGTTGCTCTTCAGGTACCCAGAATGACTGGCTGATTTGTGGAGAGAAAAATAAACCAAGCAAGCTAAAAAAAACCCCAACCACCACCCAAATCTCTTAGTAGGGTGTAACAGCTCTTGGGAAAAAATTTCAAAATACTAGATTTTTGTTATTGTTTGGGTTCCCAGTGTTTCTTGAGGAGCACAGTAGCTATGCATTGCAAGAGAAGTATCTTCCAAAATTTAAGTGGGAAAGTTTATAACTCTTTGTAAGAGAATTTCCAAGGTACCTTGCAAAATGGCCAAGAAGTGGGAATATCCATAAAAGCAAAATGGCAATGAATCACTAGGTATTTTTGGTGGTTTGCCAATTACAGAAATTTTTCTAATTGAGGTATATGTACTTCCAACATGGATACAGGTACACAACCTGGTAATCAACTGATCAATAGATACTGTTTTCAGAATAGGTAACATAAAACATTTTGCCAAATGGCAAAACATGCAGCTTGTCTCATTTTGCTGAGTTTAGGCAAAGAGTAGAATTGTGAAGATGATGACACTGTGAGTATTGTCTTTGATATCACACATTTTATGTATATATTAAATATACTGCTCAAACACAAATTAACTGGTAGCATTAAAAATGTAGTAACACAACCGCATGTGTTAGGTTTGCATGCCTAGTGCTAGACCTTGTGTTGTATTTCAGATTAAAATATTCGATGGCTTTTCCTCTGAAGGCTTTACTTAAGTTGTTTTGTTTTCTTCAGTGATAGTATTTGTCACTGTAAGCTACTTTTAAAACTCTGCTGTACAGCCAGATTGTTTAGACGTGTAAAAGAAGTACAACAGTGCTGATACAGCTGTTGCTATCAGTTACTACCTGGTTTCTTTGACAGGAATGTTTTATTGTGCATTTTTTGAGGTTGCATATATAGTTCTTCCTGACCCCTCCTGTATCTATTTGCAGCATATCGATAAGCTGAATTTGAAGCTCATGTGTTCTAGTTGCTACCTTGTTGTGAATATGAATTCAATCTTCATATTCTGTTTGATCCAGTGCCAAGTATCTATTTATATGTATTTCTTTAAATTACTGTGTTGGCATATGTGTACGTATATATAGAAAATGGTGTGCTAACATTTTCTGGCACCTCTTAACAAGGGCATGTAGTGATAGGACAAGGGCTAATGGTTTCAAACTGGAAGAGGGTAGATTTAGGTTATACATGAGGAAGAAATTCTTTATTTTGAGGGTGGTGTGACTCTGAAACATGTTGCCCAGGGAGGTGGTTGATGCCTCCTCCCTGTAAATGTTCAAGGCCAGGTTGGATTGGGCTTTGAGCAACCTGGAAAGTGTCCTTGCCCATGCATCATGGAACTAGATGATCTTTAAGGTCCATTCCAACTCAAACCATTCTATGATATGATTCTTTGAAGATAAGTTGAGAAATAAGGATTCCTCAAAAATCCTCATTCTGTATGTCCAGGTATGGACTTCAAGTGCTCTCAGTTTTTATGACCATATCTGAACATGTTTTCTGTCCTCTTCCACCCTTTGGGGGAAAGTGGCCACTCATTGACTATTGCAATATTGTGAAGTATATCATAGAATCATAGAATAGATTGGGTTGGAAGGGACCTTTAAAGATCATCTGGTCCAGCCCCCTCTGCAATGAGCAGTGACATCTTCAACTAGATCAGGTTGCTCATAGCCCCATCCAGCCTAACCTTGAATGCTTCCAGGGATAGGGCATTTACCAACTCTCTGGGCAACCTGCTCCAGCGATTCATAACCACTGTCATTGTAAAAAAAATTTCTTCCTTATATCTGGTCTGACTCTACCCTCTTTTAGTTTAAAACCATAGCCCCTTGTTCTGTCACAATAGGCCATGCTAGAAAGTTTGTCCCAATAATTCTTACAAGCCCCTTTTAAGTATTGCAAGGCAGCTATAAGGTCACTCTGGGGCCTTCTGTTTTCCAGGCTGAGCAACCCCAACGCTCTCAGCCTTTTCTTATAGGAGACGTATACCACCCCTCTGATAGTTTTTGTCATCTGTTGGAGTTGCTTTGGTTTCAGCTTTTTTAATTTGTGTATAATTGTGTTGGTCTGTAAAAATAAAAAAAATAAAAATAATCTGTGTTTATTTAATGCAGAATGTCATAATACATGTAATGAAGAAGCAGTTTATATTAGGCAGTTTAGATCAGCCTATATTTGCATTCATTGTTCAACTATGGACAATGCATTTCTTACCAACAAGTTCAAATTACAGTTCTCTGCCCTGAAGAATTATAAAGTCACCTACAAAAATTATTATTTGAAGCTAATTAGAAGCTTCAATACAAACACTTTGTTAACACAAAAATAACTACAACATTTACGTTCTGTCGTTTTTCCATTTAATCCAACCAGATGGAAAGATGAGCAACAACAATACATCAGCCTTTTTGTGGCTGCCTAGAAAATTTTTCGAAACCACATTGCCAAGTCAACACAATTCTTACCACTCAGGAAACAAATTTCTCAATCAGTGCCAGATATTTCTTAGCACTGTGATAATTATGTTTCAGTTTTCTAGGCAGAGTTATCTTCAGCTGCTGATTTAGCAGAAATTAATTGAATACACTGAAGGGTTTTTAAGATCCTCTTACTCATAAAATATGTTGGCTGGAATGCCAGAGTAATTCTTCCAGGGAGTATGTGGTATTATAATTTTGTTTCATACAGACTTATGGCACTTCCACCACCATTGTGTTTTCTATCTATACATTTTGCTTATTGGTTTATATTAGCAATGTAAACTGCTTTACCCCTTTTGCCCAAAAGTTGCTGCAGTTCTGGGACAAATAAAAAAATACACAGCTTCACTGAGGAGCCTGGTGGCTGTTGTAAAGTGTGCCGTTCAAAGAACAGAGGTCTGCCTCGCTGTATCACTTTATTTTTTTAAACACAGAGGAGTAGCAGTGTGCCAGTGTCTGTGCAGCTGAACTTGGTGGAAAGCTGGACATTCCAGTCTACCGAGATGGCCGCACAGGGGCAGCAACAGAAAATTTGCAACATAATATCAAACGTTTAAAATCCTTCCTGATACTGGACAGTTACTGCTGGAGTTTCCCTAGGAGTGTTGTGTGGCTGAAGTGAGACCCAGGATAGATTTCCTAGCAAAATGGAGTATGTTCAAGATCCTTGAGTTACTACTGTCCAGAGCAGACAGCTCCAGCTTTCCACAGTTAATGAGGCAGTGGTTGCGAAAGTCACTTTGCAATTGGAAGTAGGTGCATTTAAACAAGGAGGTGACTGAGTCTCTGACTGATTGCCTGGACTAAAATAGCACTGAGTTATTAGTAGTGTAGCTTCTGTGAGAAAATATTTGTAATGGCTGGAATCACCAAGGAAGAACAGCAGAGAATGAAAGAAAGCATTCTTTACATTTTGATACATCTAATTCCAGTATACATTAGAAGTCCTGCATCAGCTTCATTGCGCGTATCTGCTCACTATAAGTAACTTTGGGCATTGTGTTCTGATATATTGAGAAATGTTTTTGTTGGCATTGTTTTAATAGAAAGGATTACTTACTTCCCTGATCACCAGATATATTTTGTCCCCTTTTTGTTAATGCCAACTGGAATTCCTGCATAAAGACTGCAGAACTGTGCTTTGAAATCTGTGCAATGATCTTAGAGAAGGAATTGTCAATAGCTGTTTGACAAACTTAGTATTTTCTTGTACTATTTTTCTTATGATCTGCAGTGCTTATTGAAAGCTTGGTTAACTGAGAAAGAAGAGGCTTTGAGCAAGGTCCAGACAAGCAACTTCAAAGATCAAACAGACCTTAGTGTGAATGTTCGAAAACTAGCAGTGAGTATCATTATCCTGCTCTATCCTGTGAAGTCTTATGACCTAAATGAATGGCAAGTTATCATTTTTTGCACCGTAGAAGCTGTGAATGTGTAATACTTTGGAATCTAGGACAATATTATCTCCTTGCCATATTATTTCACTTGAATTTAAAAAATCTGTGCTACTTACTCCATGACCATTCCAGGCCGGTGTACCAAACTTTGAAGCAATTATCCTGAGTTTTTGACAGAGTTTGGAGTTTATTGCAGGCCACCAGTGAGCTGTTTGTTCCAAAGTGTGGGTTTGTGGTTTTTATTTTTTAAAATACATTGTTGCATTTTGTACCAGAACTAATAATTTGTAACTGTTACTCAAGACATACTGCTGACTGCTCTAGGAGCTTTTTCATTTATGTGCTTTTTGAAGTTTCTGTTAGTGCTTCATTACACAACAGAACCGTTTTGAAATCTATGATGTATCTGACTCATCATGGAATTAAAAGCTAAGGGATGGCAGAATACTTAATGTCATCTTTTAATGTTTTCTTTGAACTTCAGATTTTAAAAGAGGACATGGGTATGAAGCGGCAAACACTAGACCAGCTGAATGAGCTAGGTCAGGATGTGGCCCAAATCCTTGGGAATGGCAGAGTCTCCAGTAAAATTGACCAGGATCAAGAAGAACTAACTCAGAGGTGGGACAGTTTGGTTCAGAAGCTAGAGGATTACTCTAACCAGGTACTTTACAAGGCTTTGTTACTTTTTAGCTGTTTAGTTGTCTGTATGTATGCAAACGTCATTGATAGTGTCAGCAAAATTGCCCATGTGAGTTCTTGTCATGAGGCTAGAGAGGTAGGTGAGTGTTCTGTCACATGGGACTGACTTTATCTGCTGACAAACCTATCTGCAGTTTTGGGCCTTTGAAACCCCAAGTTGTTAACCTGACTAGTCCTGTTACTCCTTTTTTACACAGATTAAGCTTCATTTTTCTGATGACTAAAACAGGCTTGCCATGTATTATCAATCAGTCAATGCAAATCCCTTTAAACACTGTAAGAGTGCTGGGACTGGATTAAATCTGATACTAAAAGAAAACAAAGACAAAACCCCAAACCCAGAATAGATAAACAAATGGGAGTCATACAAGCATTTATGCTCTGTGAGTATGATTTCTCATCTGTTGAAAATAGAGTAGTTGTTTGTTTGATATGTAACGATGATAGCCAAGCTGGATTGTTAAATGTTTAGTTTAGTATTTTGAGTGCTTGGTCATGTTTTTATTTAGACAGAACTCCCGTTGGCTTCTGTGAGAATTTTGTTTGACAGTTTTAGGACTCATATGTCCCTTTTTTGTGGTATTAAAATGTTATTATGGTGAAGGCTGTGGGACTGATTCATGATGCATTTAGTGTATAGTGAAAGAGTTGTGCAGTCGGAATAAGGATCCATTTCAGTCATGTGGCTTTAATTTGTTGTTCTGAGTCAAAGCACTGGGGAGTGCCAAATTCTGTCTTCATTCTTTCACTCTCCCTGAATATCAAGCATATACTTAGAACTTACAGGTTGATTCCAATGGGACTTAGTTTATAACCCATTAAAGACTGTGGAAGGTTTCTATTGACTTGAGTGAGTTTTTAGGTCAAATTCACTGTGTATCAGCTCTTTCTGAGAGGTAGGCTTGGTTTTATGGGGTATGAGTCTAAAATTCAAGTGTATGTTAATAAACCCAAAGAACCTTGATTCTTTCAGTGAAGCAAGCAGTTGTGAAATAAAATAGATACAGTGTTTATTTTGCCAATTTGAGTTCACTTGGACTGGCATAAAATTTTAGGTGAACTGAGAATTTTGATGTGTTTTTTGCATCTGGTAAAATGAGACAAATGAAGTTTTTCTGTGCAGTGCATCTCTGATGAAGGTGCTTCATGACATGGTTATTTGTAGGAGTGAATTAATGGACTTTTATGGATGACAAATAAAGGGAACTAAGCAACAGCAGTTCAGCTTCTGTGTTAGGAATGGCATTTAACACTTTTGCTGAATTATTTTGTATAGGTAGCTCAAGCTGTAGGAAGTGTAGGGATGTCACAGGTTTCACAGAAGACTGCTGCAGAAACAACATCATTGAAGGAACATGTAGTGGTTAAACAAACCAAACAGGAATTGCCCCCACCACCACCCCCAAAGAAAAGGCAAATCCCAGGGGACAGTGAAGCAAAGAAAAAGTAAGTATATGTAATTTTTGTTTTCCTTTCCTTGCTAGATACTACATAGACTCGCATTCGCATTAGGAATTATTTTTTTTCCACAGAAGGAGTGGTTAGACACTGGGATAGACTGCCTAGGGAGGTGGTTGAGTCACCATCCCTGGATGTGTTTAAGGGTTGTTTGGAGGATAAGGGTCATGTTGGTGGATACGGTTTAGGAGAGAACTTTTTAGAGTAGGGATGATCGTTGGACTCAGTGATCCCAAGGGTCTTTTCCAACCTGAATAGTTCAATGATTCTATGATCTCATGGTTGTGACTTTTGATTCTTCTTTTATGCAAGCAAGGAGTACTTAATTTGTGTTCGTGAGGTCGGGACTGGGGACTGGGGAAGGGAATGTTATGTACAGCCGTGTTTCAGAGCAGCAGAAAGACTCCAGCATCCATTAATTTCAAAGAGAATTGGGGCTGTTTTGTTTCTCAGAAAAAGCAGGTCTTTACTCCTTTGTACTTTGGTTCCTTTGTTGAAAGATATAATTAATTATATTTGCTTTCTTTTGGAAAAAGCATATTCTCATATTTGGTTAAAAGGTGTTGTGAAAGTGCCAGGTATTTTGATTGATTTATTATTTATTTCTAATCTCCATAAAATATATGGGGGAAATGGGAGAAACTGCACAAAAAAACCCTTGAACATATTTCATATCCCTGTTGTTTAGTACAGTGATGTCTCCTTTCACTAGTATATCTGGAGTGACTGACTGATTTGCATGTACAGAACCATAGAATGGTTTGAGTTGGAAGGAACTTTAAAGATCATCTAGTTCCAACCCCCCTGCATGGGCAGGGACACCTTCCTCTAGACCAGGTTGCTCCAAGCCCCATCCAACCTGGCCTTGAACCCTCTCAAGGAGGGGGCATCCACAACTTCCCTGGGCAACCTCTTCCAGTATCTCACCACTCTCACACTAAAGAATTTCTTTCTAATGTCTAATCTAAATTTACCCTATCACTGTGCTAGGTGATGTGTGTTCACACAGTGAGGAAGAGGTGTTCTCTTCATTTTTCTGGAATGGAGGTTTGAAGGTGTGAGGAACCTGCCCAAACCCTCTTGAGGACCCTGGTCCTATCCTCCAAGCCTTTGTGGGGGTGATATGTGCACATGAGCATCCCAGGGCAGTAACCCAGTCAGCAACCCATCTCTCTGCAGCCCTTTTCTCTGCCTCAGGAGTCATAGAAACTAATTTAGACTTGGAAAGTAAAAGTGATTATCTTTTTTCCCAGAGTTCAAACTGTATTAAGGACTGGAGTCAGTTAAAGTAGGTTAAACTTGCTGGTGCTTTTGCCTGATCCCAGTTGTTTATGTTGAAACCAGCAAATGGCCAAGAACTAGAACTTTGCAGGTTTTCCCATGAGAGCTTTGAGTGGCTAACAGTGACTTTTGCATTTGTTGGTAGGCTGTTATTCCTTGTTAAGATTTGCACTGTGTTAATCAGTATAATTGTAATATTATACTGATTTGCGGTCTGTATAGTATATGTGTCCTCTCAAGTTCTGTGCAGTGTCATTAATTTGGGAGTTGTGGTTTTTTTCCTTTGTGTTTTTGAGTTTTTTGTTGGTGGGTTTTAGCTTGGAGGTTTTAGGCATAAGAAGGTTATGTTAGTATAGACATGTCCAACTGCAGCCAAAAATACGCTATAAGCTAATCTTTAGTCAGCTAAGAATTCAAAGAAGGTTTGTCAACAGTGAGTGCCATGGGTGCTTAAACTGCTAGCTTTTTCTTTAGACTAGTGTTGCAGACTTTCACAACATCTAGAGCTGTAATTCTTATTTGTCTTGTTCCTGAGCTTTAGTTTATTCCTTTCAAAATAACTCAGCATTGAGTGATATATTAAAAGAAACAGTAATAGTTTGCATGAAGATATGTATGAAAAAAAATATTAAAATAAATTGCACCATGTATTCTTAATTTGCTCCCAAAGGCTGATGCCATGGACATAACTTATACTGTGGCAGTTTTTTGAAAGGCTGTCTCTGTCCTATTGCCTGTGATTAGCAATACAAGAAATGTGAATCTTCTGTGCAGCCTTGCTGTTTTGGGATTGAGAAATGTACTGAACTTTAAGATGTTTGATTTTTAAGGGAAAGTGACTGAATAGGAAAAAATGACAGAAAAAAATAAAAGAAATGTCTCACCTTTTAAACCAGGTTTGATGCTGAAAGTACTGAGCTCTTGAACTGGATTTCAAAATCAAGATCTGCCATTCAGGCTGCAGACATCAAAGAGTACAAGAAGATGAGAGACACTTCAAATGTGAAAGAAAAGTTGAAGGTAAAATGAGGGGGTAGAAAATGTTCCAGTCAATAGTATATTTTGTCTCCACACTGTCTGTCAGCTCGATGTGTGGGCTTATCAACATGCTTTTTGAGGATTAGATCCTTTAGTTATACAGAACTGGACACGCATGGAAATCTCTGATCAGCTGGACACAAACTTTTGCTGGTGTTGGGTTGCACAATCCATAGGAGATTTAAAAAACTTGTATTACTGATGTCTCCTTTGGAGCTCTGATAGATGTCTGTCTTCAGGATTAGTATATTTTCCACTAAGCAGCATATTTTGTCTTCATGTTTCACAGTTGGAAATTAACTTGTTTGACACTGCTTTCATAATTTTGACAGAGATGGGCCAGTGGGCTGCTCAGACCCCTTGAGTAAGGCTGTGACATTCTGCACACACTGTGTAACATGCAGGGTCCAAAGTGTTCTATTGTTACAGTGTTTGGACATGTTTGCTCTATTAATTTTGGAGAAAACCTGAGAGTTACAATTTATATATGGTATTACTGAACTGCAAGACAGAATACAGAATTTTACAGGATCCTATGGGAGCCATGAAATAACTATTTAAACTTTCTTCTATTTCAGGAATGTGTTCTTGGCTTTTTTGGTCCTTGAGCATGTTTTGTTAATGAAGGCTTACTGGAGCTTTAGCAGGACCTGCTAGATTTGATTCTTTTGCAATCAAAGACAATGCTTACAAATATCTATAAGGAGACTACCTAAAAGTCCAAAATGGTACCAGTAGGAATATTTGGAATGGCAGTACTGTTGGAAATAAAACCCAAAACAACCCTCCCAATAGTTTATCTATAGAACTGTATGAGTATTTGTAACTCTTTATAAAATAAGCTCCAAGAGAAACATGAGGTTCCCATGAACTGCACTGTTTTTAAATTATTGGGCTCTAATTAGGTAGGACACTGTTTGTCCTTCCCAACTCTGCAAATAAATGCATGTTGCTTCTGAATATACTATCATAGAATCATTAAGGTTGGAAGGGATCTCAAAGATCATGAAGTTCCAACCTTCCTGCCATGAGCAGGGAACCTACCACTAGAGCAGGTTGCACAAAACCTCATCCAACCTGGCCTTAAAAACTTCCAGGGATGAGGCATCAACAACCCCTCTGGGCAACCCATTCCAGTTCTTCACCACCATTATAGTGAAGAATTTCTTCCTAATATCTAACCTAAGTCTCCTCTCTCTCAGTTTAAAACCATTACCCCTTTTCCTATCACTGTTTTCTCTGATGAAAAGCCCTCCCCAGCTTTCCTGTAGGCCCCTTTCAAGTGCTGGAAGGCTGCTATACTTTAGCGAATCAAAACCAGAGTAATGACCTTGGACATTACTTTTGAAAATACTTTAATTTTGAGATAGTTTATTGTAATCTCAGAGGGTATTAAAGTTGTGGTCTGGTGGCTGAGAAACTCAGCTTTCCTCTTGGCTCACACAATTCACCAATAGGTATGCCTTGAGGGAGAAACTTGTTTATCTAAAAATCTTGGTAGTTGCATAGGATTTCCCTCACCATTTCTTTATGAAGGAGAGTGAAGCAGTAGAGCGTATGAGAGTGGGTTACTAGTGGGCTGTAGTTCTTGCCAGCTGGACATCTAGTGAACAGAGATTTTCCTTCTGGAAATCTCATTAGAAACTATAGAGGTGGACTGTTTTAAAAAGTATTTCCTTCACTGTTTCACATGAAGTTATTACAATTTTTGACCACAAGTGACTTCTTTTGCTAGTGTGCTGGTATCTGATTTCCCATAGCAGGATTGTCAACCCTTTTAACAATATTTTATTCCTGATGTTGTATTAGTCTCTTGCTTTCCTGGTACTTGTGAGAGCCAACTCCTTTTGCATTTGTTTTCTGAAGAAGCAGGACTAACATGCATGTTAGAAAGTGCTGTATCCAAGAAAACTGGAATGTGTTTTGGGTAGTAGTGGGAAAACAAATGTTCCTTGGGGTTGGGGAGGTGAAGAAAAATTACCCTCTCTGTATTCTTTCGGGTTTCACTTTGTAGGTGATGGAAAAAGAAAGGATTGAAAAAAGCCAAAAGTTAGATGAACTGAAACGAAGTGGACATGTTATTTTGGATCAACTGGGAAAGGGTAAGAAACTAGAAGGTTTTTCTGTTCTGTAAATTAATCAGAGGAGTTGTCAGGAAATAAGTAGTGCCAGGTACACTACCTCCAGTGAAGTATCGTGATGTATTCCTTCCCTCTCCTGCCATTTTCTTTCCTTCAGAGACACTGGTAATCTTTACTATTACTAGTTATTGATATGTGTTTTGTTTCTACTAAAGCTTATAGAAAAGCAATATTAATATTCTTCAACGTATGTGTTCATTTGCAACCTTTTAATGTTATTTTTGTTAAAATAGAAACAAATTCTTAAAATGACGGTAACGTGTTTTGGGGGGAAGGAGTTGCTTTCATCTTAATATGTGTGGACATATTGAGTATAAAAATAAAAAATATTACTGCCTTAAGTGGAAATTTTGAAACCAAATTGAGGCTTGGTAAGTGTGTATTCATAGTTTTCTCTTTTTGTAAAACCTGTCATTATGTTTTGATGGTGCAGTTGGAATTTATGGTTCAAAGGCAACAGAGAAGCCTACATCCTTGAGAAAATGATTGATTGTCAATTAAAACACTTGTTCCTGGAAACTTATAATTAACATCAGTGAAAGATGAATCTTTATGTATTGCCAAGATTTTGTTTCATAATCTGACAAAACTCCATCAGTGAAATGTGACTTATAAAAGAGCTCTTCATACAATCCTACAGTCTGTAGGATTCACTATGCACTTTGCCGCTGGTGAAGCTGCTGTGACTGGTAACATTCAGACAGGTGAAAACTGGTATCACTGACCCAGCATTTCCTTTTGGAAAATGCCAATTTCCATTTGATTGCTCAACTGTCAAATATTTTTCCAGCCAGCCCCTTTGCCTGGATGCCACAATCTGCTAAGCATCTCTGGTCTTCCCCTCCTTGCCTACTACAGCAGAAGCATTTTACAGTGGGTGCTGTTGCCCTGAATCTGATGACTCGAAGCCACTGATTTGACCTTCTGTTTAGATTATACAAATTTGTAACTGTTATTTGTCTTCAAACCCGGACAGAGATCCTCCCTCCCCTCCCTCTCTCTCTTTCATACACCTCTCAAGTTGTGATAGCTTATGGCTATGAAATCAGTGTCTGCTGATCCTAACAGGAAATGCAGTTCAAAAACTGCTTTGTATAAGCAAATTCTGCTAGTATGTTTTGTCCAGCTTAGAATTACAGCCTTTCTCTGCAAAAGCAGGTACAGTTACACCTGTGCGCAGTAACACACAGCACTGCTGTGTGTGATTGCATCCATTTCCCTTCTGGGGCACATACAGGCTGTGCTGCAATGGCAGTGACTAGTCACTGCATGCATGCTTCTCTTACATGTCTGGCTGCAGCCACTGTGCCGCTGTGTCAGAGACATGCCAAGTGCATGGCCAGCATGTGAAACACAGGGAGGATCTATGGAACAGAGCCTTAAGTGCCCTTGCAGCCAGCTGGCCAGCTGCCCTGGCCAGAGCACTGGGCTCTGCTTCTGCTAAAGCAGAGCAGTAAACAGACCCCTCCTTATACTCCAATTTAAATGATAGAACTTTTAAGTCCAAATGACCCAAATGTGCCTTATACAAATAAGGTGATACCTTGAAAGAGATTCTGCATTGGAAACTTGGAATGGTAGGAAGGTACTGGAAATAAAAGAACAAGGAATGGGTGGGAGGTGTGTTCAGGTCTGCTGCTCAAGTAAGGCATTGATTTGTCAAAAAGATGGTGTAGCAAGTACTTCACGTAGTCACTCTAAGTGGGAAATAACTTTGTTTTGTCATGTTGCTTTTGTAGCTATCCATATTACCTAGTTATTAATCATATCTGCACACTATGTGACATGGTTAGTCATTGTTCCCTATCTCTCCCAGGATGACAGGATTTCCATCTACCTTTTCAGTGAATTGATTGCTGCCTTTCAGCTTGCTACTTCCCTTTTTCTTTACGGATTTACATAGATTTAGGATCATTAAAAAAAGCCAAAACTCACTAGAGGTCTACTTAAATAAAACCTATTTTACTGAAATCTACATATCAACATTTAGAGTTGATATGAGAGTCATGATGGTCAAGAGATAGTGCGTTGTTATAAATCCAAAAGTCATCAAAGAGAAATAATGGAAATGGAATATCTCTTAATTTTACTATTAATGTGGAAATAAAAAGCTGAAACACTGTTAGTAATAAGTACAGTTTTATAGGTAGAGGACTTGGAATCAGAGTATTTTGCATGTTAATGCAAATGTGCATCTGTATCTGAAAACAGGAAAGGTTAAATGCCTGTTAATCATAATATGTTGCAGTTAATGTAACAATAATTTATATAATCTTTTTTAGAAGGACTTTCTACAGTGGATGTAAAAACTTTGATGGAGAAAATATTGTCAGAGTGGAAAGATGTGGTTCAACATCTGGAAGAAATGGCCAGAAAGATGAAGTACCAGGAAGATATAAATGCTTATTTTAAGGAAATGAGTGATCTTGAGAAGACTGTAATTGAGAAGGATGGCTGGCTTAAAAATGAGGCTTCTTCAGCATCACAGCCCTCAGCAGTCCTGAAGGACTTATGCCAGGTAAGTCTGGCAAAAATTTTGATTTAAAGCTGTTAGGAGCACAGAATGTCCCAGAGGAGCTTAGCCTAGTCAGTAAGGTTACTCAAAACTTCTGAGGCATCCAGAGCATCCAAATTTGGCTGGAAGATTTTGGTACTTGTGTTACAGGAGTGCTTTAATGTTTTTGCCCTAGTAATGTGGAGGAGCTGTGCTGTAGTAGCTTACTTAAATCTTTGTGTTAACAAAAAAAATGTGAGATTTGGGGTTTTTTTTACCTTTCACAGCGGGAGCTAACTCATCTTCTAAGCCTGACTCCACAATTAGAACACCTGAAAGCCACCTGCAGGACACTCATGTCTCAGCCCATGCCTCCAAACTTTATTCAAGAGAGCTTGAATGGTTTTCTTGATCACTTCAAGTTGACTTGTCAGAAACTAGAGGAATGTTACCAGCAGCTGAAGAAAGGTAAATATATATTTTATGTAACATAAGCCTTCCTGATACTTGTGTTCTGGTTTTGTGGGTTTTGTCATTCTTCTGAACTGATTGAAAAGTCACTGAATAATAAGCAGTTTTCC